CCTTCTGCATGGCTTCTCGCCAGTGGCGATAGCGAACAGCCTGGAAAAAGTACTGAGGTTCGTAGACTGCACTAACCGCGGCCACATAGGCATGATGCGCTACCGAAAGGCGATGATAGGTAACATAATCATCAAGAGGGTATTGCACCGTGGCCGAATGTGCCGCACCAGGCAACTGGTAGTCATAACCTTGCAACCGAGTGGAGGGCATCCGAACACGCTCACTCTTGCGCGGCGGAGGTGGACCCGAAGGAGGGGGCTCGCTACTGGAAGGAGGGACAACAGCGGGAGGTGAAGACGAGGAGCCTCCACTGCCAGCCTCGTCGCGAAGCTGGGAACCAGTAGGCGCGGCGTCCATCTCCATTTCCGGGGCAGGACTGGCGGGAGAAGTAGACTCCTCGAGAGGCGGTGAGGAAACAACAAGCTCATCATCCTCATCACCAAAAGGTCCTGTGGGCACTCCATGATTCGGTGCAGAAATAGAATCAGGCGTGAGAGACTGGCTAGAATCCAAGTCACGGTAGGGAAAAACCTGCTCAAGAAAACGAACGTCCCGGGAGGTATAGATAGTCCGGGTTTCCAAGTCATAAACACGGTACCCGCGTTGAGTAGCAGGATACCCAATAAACACACCTGCCCGGCCGCGAGCAGCAAACTTGTGTAACTGTTGATGAGTATCACGAGCATAGACCAGACATCCATAGCTGCGAAGATGAGAATATTTGGGTACCTTGCCGAAAAGCACCTCAAATGGAGAAAGATTCCCAATGGGATGTAACGGCATCCTGTTGATCAAGTAGGCCGCTGTCAAAACACATTCTCCCCAAAATTTCAGTGGCAAATTCGCATGGAATCTTAATGCCCGAGCCGTGTCTAACAAGTGTCGATGCTTGCGTTCTACGACTCCGTTCTGTTGAGGAGTATCAGTACAGGATGTCTGTAAAACAATGCCATTCTTCTCATAAAAATCCATGAGAAGATTGCTAGAAAATTCAGGTCCATTGTCTGCTTGAATCCGACGAACCTGTCGACGAAACTGTGTACTGACCATGTTGCAGAAGTATAACAAATGGCGAGCAGCATCAGATTTATAACGCAACAAGAAAACCCAGACACCGCGACTAAAATCATCAACGATTGTCAAGAAATAATGTGCTCCAGACATGGAAGCGGTTTTATAACTGCCCCAAATATCAACGTGAATCAACTCAAAACTAGACTCAGTCTTAATGCTGCTAGATTCAAAGGAATCTCGAGTTTGTTTGGCCCTTAAACAAGATCGACAGGGCTCATTATTATGAACAAAAGAACCACCAAGAGTGTTCTCCAAAATTTGCAACTTCTTCTTCGACGGATGCCCAAGACGCATATGCCACAACTCTGTATCACCCATAGATCGCCGAACGGAATGTGCCACTGGATGCTCCTGCTCGAACAACCTCAGATAATACAAGCCATCAACATGCTTACCCATCCCAATCAGCCTCTTGGATGGTAAGTCCTGAATAACACAGAAGTCACCCAAGAAAATTAATGCAACCGGGAGATCAGCAGTGAGCCGGCTGACTGACAATAAGTTGCACTGAAAATCTGGAACATGAAGAACTCGACGTAATAATAGATCATCAGATAACTTAGTCATCCCAATACTACGGACTTGAACACCAGTCCCATTTGGGATTTTAACCTGTAACATGGGACTCGAGTCCAACTCAGAATCCAATAGGGAAGCACGGTTAACAATATGTTCGTTACAGCCTGAATCAATAACCCACGAATTCGAATTTAACAAGGTCGTACCTGCCATGTTCGAACTCGGCTCCAAGGAAGATTGAGTAAGCTGCCGCAGATCACTATTCAGCAAAAGTTTGAGTTGTTCAAACTGTTTCGGAGTGAGACCCTGCAATGAACCTCCATCCGCATCCACTTGTGCAGCTTGGGGAGACACGCGCTGGCCTTGATCTTGCCTTCGCTTGTGCTGGGGACGAGAGCTATTCTGCTCACCCTTCTCATTGTTCTTCGGTGGAAAACCAATGAGCCTGTAGCAGGTCTCCCTTACATGTCCCGTGCGACGACAGTGCGTGCATCGCGGCTTCCCATCATTGTCGCGATCATGCTCCTGATCAATCTGGCGGTCAGACTTGCGCTCCCCCTGAGCCTGGAAGACAGCAGCCTCCGGACGAGGGCGGCGACTGCTGGTGATTTGCCTCTGTTGCTCGTCGTTGGTGACCAAGCGATAGGCTTCAGCGAGAGAGGGTATTGGCTTCATAGCTAAAATCTGGGACTTCACGGTCGAAAACACCTCATCCAATCCCATTAAAAAGTCGAACAACCTCTCCCCCTCTCGAACTTCTCGTTGACGTTTTCGCACGTCACAGGTGCACCCGGAACAAGTGCATTCTAGGGACGGAGTTAGTGCCTCAATCTCGTCCCAGTAGCCTCTCAACTTCGTATAGAATTGTGAGACTGAAGTTTTCTCTTGCTGCAAGCGATTTATGGTACCCTTGAGCTCATAAAGCCGTGGGGCACTCCCTTGTCCAAACCGTGATTCCAAATCAACCCATATTTCCCTTGCAGTAGAAGCAAAACGAACACTGTTACGTACCTCCTTTGTCATAGAGGTTTTCAACCATCCCTTCACCATTGCGTTGCAGCGACGCAAGGCTTCCTTCTCAGCGGACGAGGTCGCTATCGGCAGACTCCCGTCAACAAAACAAATCTTGTTTTTCGCAATGAGCGAATCTGTCATGTCCATCACCCATTCACCGTAGTTGACGTCGGTCAACAACTCACCCACGAACAGGTTGCTAGGGCTGTCCGATCGATCGAGCAGCAAGTGCGAAGGTAAGGGAACTGTTGCTTCGGCATCTCCTCCCATGATGTTCTTCGACTTCTTGCTGGTTTCTTCATCGTCGGAACCCATAACGAATAACGCTGGATCAAATCACTGCTCTGATACCATGTAAAATTCCAAAACAACAGAAAAGCGGAAGTAGAACGAGATCGATTTTACGTGGTTTCCCCGTTCGGTGTGAACGAGACTAGTCCACGGGAAGGAGAGCTGAAAAGCTCTCCGAGTGCTGCGATATTATTAGGTTTTCACTTAGGGTCGGCTCACCCTACACCAGCCGAATAAATACATGCTACATCTCCATCAACGTATGGAACAAGGAGATAACAAATAACCAAAACAGTCCCAAGAAGGAAAATAACAGAATGATCCCTACACTTATCACAAACTACAAGTAGGGATCCCAACAATAAGTAAAAATAGTCATGCCCTATAACGTCGTAAAACGGATCTATCATCTAATTTGGAATGGAGCCACTTCAAACAAAGACAAAGTTTATAATTAATTACACTATGTAAATTTGGTGTATTTTCTAAAATTGAGAACATACACGAAATCTCCCGGGAAGTACTTAATTGGTGTTTTGATCATTCGATTTTGATATTTTGATTATTTTAATTATAGTTTAATACTTAATATAAAATTTTATATATCCGATAGAATAATGATAGTTCGAATATTGCATATCGAATTGCAATATTAAATGTGTCGAAGCGATGTAGACTTCATAAATTAGTATTAATTTTCAGGATTACTATTGAAGCAATCATATCTTTGTGCAAACTATATGGTACTGGTTCCTTAAACGTTTTAGCCCGGTTAACAACTAAGTTTTGAATCTCAACCTAATCCGGCATGATTGGATCCGACAATCATTAGACGAGATTGAGTTTAATTTATTGGCTTCACCATTTTTATATATTAATGAATTGTAGAGCATATAGAAAATTTTGGGTGACCCACAAATTTGAGTGACCCGCAACTCACCTGAATAAGTACAAATAGAAAATTTTCTATTCACGATCCACCCGCATCAGTCACTCACAAACTGCAGTTTGGATTATTTGTGGGTAGGTCGGTATCAAATCGCAGATTAATCACCCACGTGCCTATCCCTAGTTTGTATGACTAGAATTGTTTGAATGAATTTTAGCCCTTGATGAACCTGATAACTGTATAGAATAAATGTAATCTATAAAACCAGATCACCTTTATTCTATGCAGGAACCAGTTCAAGTAATAAATTTATCCGCGGCCCAAAGCTAGTAATAACTACCACCTTTATTTTTTTGGGATAGGATTATGTAATACCCCAGCCACTCTTAAATTGGTATCTCCTTCGCTACCCTTCTGCAAACATATTTGTGCCGACTAAAAGAATCATTTTCACCCACCACCAACAAGCCCTTAATTTACACTGCCATTCCCTTATCCATCATTCTCGTCTCGTGAAACTCCATTATTAGAGACAGCTAACTAGACAATCCATAACAACTACCTCTCTCTCTCTCTCATCTCTAGGAAAAGAGGGAGAGAAAGCCACCCTACTTGCCTCTCGATTCCAATCCTTTTTTTCCAACACTGCAAGGGGCGAGACTCTGTTTCCTCCTCACGTAAACGCGCGCCAAGAGAGAGCATATATCTTATTCTCGTACGCTGGACAGAAGGAAGTAATTAAAGAGTCATTCGACCCCCGAGCATCACCTCGCGTGTACGTTCTTCAGGTATGGAACAATGAACCCCAAATTTCGTTTCCAAAGGTCATGTTTGCAAGTGTTGGTATTTTGATTAGTTGCTTTAGAGAGTTCACGGTTACTTCTTCACATTAGGTGGAAGTTATGTTGACATGTTACCATGTTTTTCATCGTTTAATTATCATGTTTTGGTGGCCGGACGGTTGTACTAGTTAAGTTGAGTTCGGTGGTCCTATTAATTCATAAGAAGTAAGACCCAAATTGAATTTGAAGATAATAATGTACTAAGCATTGCACAAGCATGTTTATTTATCAAGCATGTTATTATGAGTTTTTCACCATTAACCAAAACCAGAATTAGGAATGACCCCAATGCCCCTACTTAGGAGTACTTCCAGGAGTATCAAGTACATCTCTACGCATTCACTTACGGTCAGACAGATTTCCAGTTCCAGAGGATTTCCAGTATGATGAATTCAATTCAATACTTTAGTAACACGAGAGACTTGGCGATAATTTACGATGAATATTTACTACGTCAAGATGTTTCAAGGTATGTTGACTTTTTATGTCTACTCTTTTATTTAGTATAACATTTCCATTATTCTTCAATGTATTTAATAATAATTGATTTTTAAGGGTATTTTAATAAAAATAGTGTCGGCCGTTTAGGGTTTAGGGCATTACAGATTCACTATCACCTATTAAAACAAAAGAGAACTGGCCCTTTATCAAAATAATCCACAAAATAAATAAAAACGAATGGCTGAGAGAGCTTGGTTTGTGACCTGGAGATATCAGATTCAGACAGTCTGGGAGTCCTTTTATATAATTGCTCGACCAATTAATGTAACAAAAAAATAGAAAAAACAAGAAAACAATCAGCTATACACAAATGGAATGGCGGCACAACTACCATAAATGGTTTAACACAAAATTGGAATGAATCACAAAACAATAATATACTATGCACAAGTAATAATGTAATATAGTGAAATCGCGCTTTAAAGTTTACGCTTAACTAAGTTTTTCCCTTATCAATGTAGTCAAAATTTATGCTTAAAAATTTAAGTTCTTATGTCTCTAGAATCTAGATCACCACAATACTTCCTCGTAGAATCGCGATTTTGACTGCATGCATCTCAAATCCCAATCCATTCCTTTGACTTGTTTCTTGATATTTGCTGTCCCATGTTCTGCAACTTGGATGACTCCTTAAACTCATGCATTGATGATATAATTGAGGCCTACCATGTGAATTGTTTGGGGTAGGTTTCATTGCAAATCATCACTCAACGCTTATCCACATGTATGCATCCGACTGTGCAAGAACGAGACACCAACCAAACTCCAAAAGCATTGGAAAGAAAAGAAGCATTTGATCTGCCGCAACTCTCTAGTGGAAATGGCTAACGTGCTGCATATGAATGGCGGCCTGGAAGAGGCCAGCTATGCCTTGAACTCCTTGCTTCAGGTAAATGAGACAGATGCAGAATCCCATAACGGAGTCTGATATCGCGACTTGCAAGTGATCGATGATCTGTTTAAATATGATCGAGTTATTGGAATTCGTTGGTTTATGAATTATATACAAGATTTGTTTTATATTATTTTAATAACTGAAATTTGTACATGCCCACTACCATACTATTGTGCTTTGATCGATCATCAATTATTAATAGTGGGATCGTGAGGACTTGAATAGACTTGCAGGACAAAGCAACTTTGATACCATGTCATAAACTAATTGATCTTAATAACTCAAGTTGTTGGAAAAGATTAATTATGGATCATATATCATTTACTAACGCTGGTCAATTTGCAGCGGAAGGGGATCACAAGGACCCTGCCGATAACAAAGGAAACCGTTGCAGAACTGATGCGTAGCTCGAGCTTCCCCAAAGGCATGTTGGCTATAGCAGATTTGGGTTGCGCTTCAGGACCCAACACTCTTCTCCTCATGTCGGAGGTAATCAAGTTCGTCCACAACCTTTCCAAGGAGTTAGGGCAGGAATCCCCCGAGCTTCAGATCTTCCTGAACGACCTCCCTGGAAACGACTTCAACCATGTCTTCACATCTATTCAAGGATTCAAGGAAAATATGAAGAAAGAAATGGGAGCCCAAGCTTTCATCGTCGGAGTTCCAGGTTCTTTCTACGACAGGCTATTTCCGACTGATAGCATTCACTTCATCCACTCTTCCTACAGTCTTCACTGGCGCTCTCAGGTTCCTGAAGGTCTTGAGGAGAACAAGGGAAATATTTACCTGGCCAGTAGCAGTCCTCCATGTGTGTTGGAAGCCTATTACAAACAATTCCAGACGAACTTTTCATCCTTCTTGAAGTTTAGGGCTCAGGAATTGGTTACTGGAGGTCGAATGGTATTGACACTCCCTGGAAGGAGAGGTGAAGAATCTTCTGAGAGAGAGTGTTGCTACATTTGGGGACTTATGTCGATAGCTCTCAACCAAATGGCTTCTGAGGTAAATAGAGAGAGAACAAGAAGAAATCATGTTTTCAAATTCCTATTTAAAAGAAAAATAGCTTCTTCGGATTGACAAATTATCTAATTGGCTAAGATATTTATTAAAATCTTTGTAGACCAAAAGTTAGAAATTAATTAATTAGGAAATTCCTACTACAAGCTAATTTGAATTCCGTTACCTGTTTGCATTACGTAAAATAGAATAGTCGCTACGTAATGGTTACGGAACTCAAGCTTATCTTACATAACAGTTGTAAAGTGTCATTATGGAAGCATTTACGTAATAGACGATCCTTTTACGTAATGAACGATAACCTCGTGTTACGTAAAGTGATAAGTCATTACATAAGCTTTACTTAACACTTCTGATTTAACTGTTACTTAATAAATAACTATCCTTCCGTAATCTTTACATTATGGTGTGTATTTTGCGCGACAGTTGTGAAGTGTCATTACGGAAGCCTTACGTGATTACGTAATAAATATTAAACCGTGTGTTACGTAAAGTGTTAAGCCATTACGGACACCTTATGTATGTACATAATGAATATTAACCTTGCGTTACTTAAAATACTAAGTCATTACGGAATTCTTACGTTATGCTTATGATAAATTAACTATTTACGTAATGAATATTGAACAACCATCATTCCGTAACTTTTACATAATGAATGTGTATTTTACGTAACAGTTGTAAGAGAATAGTAAGTGATAACCTGTAATTTATCTAATGTGAAATTAATCAAATTATACCCAAGTAATTACTGTAGGAGTTCCCAACCAGTTAATTAACTCTTGAAATGTAACCTAATAACAATTAACTAACCACACTTACACTATATGTAAAGTATTGGTAGTAAGGTAAGATTCTATTTCGGACTCTCCCATGTATATAAACTATCTATCGTGGTCTCATTTGTAGGGATTGATTGATCAACAAAAACTGGATTCCTTCAACCTTCCAATGTACATGCCATCCGCCATGGAAGAGGAAGCCGAGGTCCAGAAACAGGGCTCCTTCGCCATTGAACGCCTAGAGGTATGGGATATGAATTGGGATGCCGGCTACGAGGGGGAAGTGACGAGCTTGCCCGCCGGAGACGGTGGCTACAACCTTTCAAAGTGCATGGAGGCGGTGTTTGATCCGGTCATCGCCCATCACTTTCATCTGTCGAGGGAAATCACCGACGAGGTTTTCAAGAGGTACGGTCTCCTTCTCTCCGATTGGATGGCCAAGGAGAGTCCTGCTTTCGTGAGTCTGACCGTCTCGCTCACTAAGCGACATTGATGACAAATTTGGAAAGAATTCTTCGACACACGCATGCAGAAAGGGTATTCATGTTTTTATTCAATGGAGGTTCTATTAAAGTGTGATGCTTCAAGGCAGTGAGCCTTTGAGCTTTCAGACTAGTTTGAATTGATCTTTGATCTGTGTGATGTATTGTGACAGGTTTCAGAACTCACCAGGTTGAGTAAAAACTTCTCCGTGAATGAATTTTGATTGAGAATTGTAGTATTAGTTTTTGGATGCGTTTCTTATTGAGATCCAGGCACTAAGAAAGAAGGCTAGACTTTTAGCAACCAGTACTAGGCAAATTTATCAGCGGCGCTGCACAGTTGCGAAAGACGCGGTGGCTATAATATTCAAGAAGGCGCTACCCCTATAAATAAAAACTAGCTTTGTGCCCGGCCTTTGGCCGGGTCTAAGCGGTGTTGTAAACCACAAAGCCAATGATCCGGCTTTTATCTGATCATCATCTCATTCATTTTTAATGAGAAATTTGGTGTATATATACAGGAAATTATACCGCCCATTTTTAAAACTAAAGAGACATGCTTAATACTCTATCAATGATGTTGAGTTTTAAATCATGTTCTCCGTGGACGTTTACCTAGTCTTTTTACTTTCACAACGATTGATCTTTGAAGCTTTGACATAAGATTTTGAATGAAATTCGTCAACTAATACACTCAGGGGTCGTTTGGATGTGGAGATGTAATGCAGTAATTGGACCCAATTATCACATAATGCAGTAATTGGGTTAAAAACCCACGTTTGGGAGAGCAAAAGGGTAAGGGAATTGGACCATGGAAATTGGCTTCAATTACCACATTCATGGTAATTGAGAATACTACACCTCCCCCTAGTAATTTGACATTACCACGTTTTCTTACTTCTTTTTCCAAATTCCACACCATCAATTCCCACAAAACTAAACCCTATCCAAACGTGATTTTTTTTTTCAATTTCCACAAGTCAATTCCTTGGTTTTGTAAAACATAAAAATTCAGACAAATTCCAACGTTTTCAAATTTCCACATCCAAATGACCCCTGTATTATCTCATACATCAAATATATATCACATTCATATGTTAGGACTAACCTTCATGGAACAATCTTGATATTTGCCAAAACAATCAAAAATATTTGTGTTAAGCAATGTATACAACCGATTTCTTGTCCATATGACTTAATGTCCGCTTGAACAAAAACAGTAAATAACATGTAAAGGAATTCTCGGTAAATATATTACTCATAAAAAAATGGATAAGAATACTACAACCATTTAAAGTTCAATTTGAATTCACATACCTAGACTTGAAGAAGTGGAATGAAGTGGAATCGACTATTAAAGCTTCCCCTGACTATGGTAGTCTGGGGCAATAAACCCTTGTTGATAAGGAGAATTTTATTTCAATTCGGACAAAGGATCAGATAGTAGTGGCGGCGGCGGGTTGGAATGAGAAGATGAAAATGACGACGGTTGGAGGGATGGGATTTGTCGCCGTGCGGGTTAAATGTTTCGGGGAGGATATAAGGAAGGGAATCCGAGGAGACAACTGCGGTGGGATGGAGTGGCGGACAATAGGAAGGATCGGCTAGGACGGCTAGAGATGGTATGAGAAGACGAATAAGATGCCGACAGTTCAGATTTGCCTCCAAAGAAGAAAATGGGCGCGTAGAACTTCCTGGGGAAGAAATGTGATGGGATTTGGGAAGAGCATCAAAGGGAACGACGGTGGTGGGATCGATTGATCGGCGGCAGGAAGGATCGGCAGACACCGGAGGAGATATGGTTCAGGGAGAAGAACAACAGTCAGGACAGCCGAGACGGAAAGGGAGAAGGGCTTTCTATTTTTTTAAAAATTTTAACTCTCCGTGTAGTTATTTGATTGGAGGAAAGCAAGTGATGACGTGGCAATATGGGTGGACGGGGAATTTGAATCCCTGAGTGGTAGTTGGAGAAAACGCTTAATATTTTTTTTAGATAGATAATAATAAGACGCGACCCTTTCAAAGTATTAGTGAAAAAATATTTAGTTAGAGATACAATATCCTGGCGGTTACTATATATTGTTTTCCGTCGGTCGATTTGGCTAGTTTGCAGGTGGTCGAACAATTTACAGTCCGTTTGTTAATTACCGACACTGATGTTTATTGTTAGTCAGTCCGACGGTATCAGGGGCGGAGCTAGAATTTGACGTTTGGGGGGCCGGAATTTCGTTAGTATAATATTGTGAAAAGTCTAAAATTTTAAAATAAATAAATTATTTAAAAATTATAGTATAATAATCGTATAAACATTCTTTGAGATGACTAAAATCATTTTTGTTTATATTATAATTTTTATTTTGTATATTATAATAGAAAAAAATTAATAATTGCATAAAGTATTTTTTGAAATAATTAAAATCACTCAAAATAGAAGTTAAACTATCAATTTTTTCACATTAGGTTTAATATGAAATAGAAATTTATAAAAGAAAGGCAACAATGAATTGTGTAGCAAATTCTATTTTTTTATAACTGAAAATAAATGTATGCCAAATTAGAAATCAAATATAATAAAAATACCAACCTGTAAGAAGAAAATGTTTAATGAGATGGAAGTACAAAACTGTAATGGAAAATTTTATATAAAAAAATAAATGAAATCAAAATACAAAACTGTAAATCAAGTTGAAATTTAAAGAAGCAAAACTACAATGCAGTAATTTCGGCTGTAGGTGGGAATCGAACCTAGAATCACAAGGTTATTAAAAATGCCCGGAACCGTTAGGCTAAGTTGAATAGCCAATTACTTACTTTCACTCTTGATGATTTTATAATAACATTGTTTTCAATACGTAAAATATTAAATACCCGACCATTTATACGTTACTTTCGAAATTCTCGCCCCCCCCCCCCCCCCCCCGAAGACCAATGTAGCTCCGCCCCTGGACGGTATGTCAAAACCAAGAAAAAAATATTTAAGTCAATAAGAAATTGGTCTAGTGATAATATCATTGATTTTGTATCTGGAGGTTTCAGGTTAGAATCTCTTGCCTCGTCCAAACAGTTCATATAAGTTGTTTGATTAGTGTTATGTAGATGGTGAAGTTTCCAATTGCGTGCATCATTGTGAATAAAATATCAATCTAGTATTTTTTTTATAAGGGTGATTGCATTAAAATATAAAACAAGACAAACTGAGAGAGACTGTCAGAGAGCAACATGAGTACAGGCGAGAGTGATCAACAAGATTGATCACAAACAGAAAACAAAAAGGAAAAGCAAGAACAAAAAGAAACCCCAAAAAGGGAAGAACAGTACAAGGAAGACCAGACTAATAGATCAACAAGATCGATCTAGTGTTAATACCACTTATTTTGAAGGTGAATGTCTCATATTCGAATCTCTACCTAACTAAAAGATAAACCCATATAACCCTCATAAAAAACAATTGTGCGCATAATTTTTCATTGATCTTAAAATGCATTTGCGAGTGATTGCAATTGCACATGCAATCTTAGTTAGAACAAAATCATGTGATGAAGTATTTCGAAACTCATTTTAGAAAAATGGGCTAAACTTCCCTCCTTATCTCTAACGACCATGTACTAAACCAAATAACAATTTTTTAAAATATGTCCCGGGGTAACATGCAGTTAGGAATGGATTAGCGTGACAAACTATGAATTGGCACAATGAGTTGGTGACAACTTAACTCTAAATTCACGATGAGAGATTAGATGATAACACCAATATCATGGTCAATCAAGCGGCAGACGAGTAGTACGTACTAGATTAGGGCCCGCCCGTTGGCCGGATAAATTTTGTTAATAGTATAAATAACCTTAGTAATTGTTCGAATCAAGACATGTTTTATTTCATATCTAAAATTTTCAAATAATTTACTTACTGGAAATATCATACCCATACTCATATAATTTCAACATGCTAACCTGATTTATCGACTGAAGCCCTTACTCAAAATAAAAAACAAAAGTCATGCAAGAAAATTGACTTCTAAATATTTAATAAGATGGTAACATTATTTGCTACTCAATGTCAATAATTACAGAAAATTTGAATTTGAATTTTTTTCTGATTGTTCTACCTCGGCCTTTTAAAGCACCATCATCTTCTCCAATTACCAATGCCTTTGTCTTCCTTAAAGAACTTTTTCCTTTACAATAGGCTATTCCTATTTATTTTTTCATTGGAAACCAATCTTTAATGATAAAATGTTTAGAAACACGGGACATTACACACAATTAAAGTTTATGCCTTTTTACTCCTAAATTTAGAAAAAATTTGAATTGTTATGTTTGGATCTTGGGTTGAGACAGGTAATATTGTAGTAGGTAAATTAACGTCTCATTCATGAGATTTATTTTTTCCTAACACTGATAGACAACCCTGCGACCAACACAAAATTTGATAATCTGTAAATTGAAAAATTAATGAATAACCAGTAGGTGTTGCCTATTCTCCAGTAGATCTTTTTTTTTTCTTGTATATGTACATATTTGGTTGCCCAATTTGTAAAATGGTTAACGAAAGTTTAGTGATTGACAATGAGAATAATTAAACCTGCCACGAATACCATTTTTTTTTTTTATCTATGGTGGTTAATTTTTAATCTGTAAATCATGAATAAGTTGGAAGTAGCATGAACATTCTAAGTTGACTTTAAGAAGATCGAGATATTAGTTGAAACCAAGTCAGCAAGGTGAGGCCCACTTTCATAATAATCTAATGAAGAATTGATGGTGGCGAGACGATAAGGAATTGTTGTAGAGATGGGGTACCATTGTAGACGAATTGATATTTCATGAATGCTAATATATATGATGCTATAGAATGCTGGACTGACAGGTTTTATTCCAAAATATGTCAAAATGAATATAATTTTATATATTACATTAAATTTAATTTTAGTTGAAAATTTTAATTGTAATTTTAATTATAAAAGTGAAATATCATTAATTAAAAACTCATAAAGGATAAGTTATGCACCTTT